GTCTCAGTGTTACGCAGAACAAACCCAAAGGACATGTTCAACCAGAATACAGTGGTTTGATCACCTAATATCTGTTGGAGGAACTGATGGAACACTTGGCGGTCGTAAGATTCAAGTCTGAAATTATACCAATCTTGTAACCTATTTCTGCGGCTCTGTCTCGTACGAATTTCACTCCAGTGTTGATTTATCATATTGCGGATTTGCTGGTCACCGTTAGGGATAATGACATTGGGTGGCATAAACATAGGGTCGGACTGCCAACGTGAACTGGCTCCTTCTTTGACCGAAGAACTATTAACTCTACGTCGTTTGGAATCAGTGTTTTCTGTAGAACAGAAGCACAACAAATTAACAACTAATAAACAACTAATAACAACTTTTCATTTCCACCGAATAAATTCATATGCGTAAAGATGTAGTGAATTGAATGAACAGTTGATGAAATGGAAAAATAATGATATAAAATACTGTTAGAGCTGATAGAAAGAATGATCTATTTTGGGAAAATTGCGATCGTTAACAATATTGACTGATGAACAGGTAAAATAAAAATAACTAACACTAATAATWATTTTCTAGTAGAAAAACTTACTCGATTGATCATCCCCTTGCGATCGCTTTCGTTTCTCGGCCTTCTGTGTTTCTTTAGTTGATAAATGAGCTGACTTTAGATGTGACCTTAATTCACCAACCGAACTAAATGTTTGTCCACAGTTGTTACATTTAGACTCACGGTCAACAACATGTTTCTCGTGAACTTTCTGATGCTTTACCAAATAGTCTCGACGGCTGAATTTCTTTCCACATCGCAYGCATTGATGTTTCTGATCTTTTTGATGGACCTTCATATGTCGTTTTAAGTTATCTTTACGGGAGAAGGTTTTACCACACGTTTGACATTCAAGACGAGTTCGCTTGGCTGATGGTTCCTAAAAAATAAAAACAAAAGTAAAAGTAAATAAAATAAAATAATGTTTGTTATTGTGTTTTAAACTATAAAAACTGAACTAAAGCAAATTAACGGTTTTTATTTAGTCAGATAACTCGAAAACTATTTGAGCACTAAATAAAGGCCTTCTTCTGCATATAGCACAATTTTTTATTACAAAGTTATATTGAAGAAATCAAGAAAAAACTAATGAATATTTACCGTCGGTGAAAGGCCACTACCGTTCTGGTCCTCGTTCTCTACTTCGTAAATCTATAACAAATAGCAACTGAAATATAAATATTTAATCGATTTTATAATTATCTGAATAACGGTAACTCACTGGAATATTGTCGGACTGTAAAATGGGTTTAGCTGCTTCACAAGCTGCTACCTTAAATTAAAAAAAGATCAAGAATCATGTAAAAAAAAGTTCAATATTAAAAGAACAATTTCAGTGTGAAATGCAGTAAAAAAATACAAACTCACTTACCAATTCGTGTTCCCAACCGGACCAAGAATCATCCAGAATTGAGCCATGATTGCTATCTTCATCCCGCAAACGCTAAAATCATTTGGTTAAAATGAACAATCAAGAAAAAACTATCAAACTTGAAGCAACAGGATATTTGTTTGAATTGTATTGATTGAAATCTGGTAAAAGTAATAGCTAGTAATATGTAATTTGCTTTGCTGAATGAGAACTATTTACCGTCGTAAAACTTTACTCACCTTTTTTGTTCGATTAGAATTTTCTTGTTGAAACTTGCGGTAAGCTTCTTCGCATGCTAAATCGATGGCAATCCAGTCATCTTCGGTGAAATCACCAAACTATATTAAGCCAAAAGTCGTAAATGAAAAGCGTTAATGACTAATTTTGTGTGATATACTAAACTCAAAATGAATTACTAGATACTTACCAAAAGGTCAGGTTTATCATTAGAATGTGTTTCAAAGCAAAATTCCGCCATGACTTTCACAAATGTTGTTTAAACACAAATCGATGTTGACTGTATGAAAGCTAGTCGATAAATGGTGAGGCAAGCGCTTTCACGCTCAAGAAACCACAACTTTGAATAACTTATCTTTTGTTTCATTCAGGCACGTCCAGGCAGCTCTTTGTTCAGGAACAATAGTAATTTCATGGTGTATGAAGTCCCACAATTTATGATAATTATCCTCCTCGATTTACCAACGCAGCATAATTAGATCGCTCACAATTTACCAACACAAAAGTTGCCCACAATTTTATGATAATTTATACCTCCCCTATCACTTTTGCCTCATTAGCATACCCACCTACTAAAATAATTTATACCTCCTACTCGTTTTGACCACCCCTCCCCTATCACTTTTGCCTCATTAGCATACCTCCTACCTCCTACCTCCTACCTCCTACCTCCTACCTCCTACTGGACGGGGGTCGAGCGGTCCTTTGCTTACTACTGAGCCCCATCCCTTGGAGAACGGCTTTATTCCACTCAACCTGGTGATTAAAAGTGATTAAAAACTCGTAAAGTTGATAATAAACTGATTACCTGTAG